TCCTTCCTTCTCCTTCCCTGTTCTCCTTCCTTCCCCCTTCCTTCCTTCCTTCCCCTTCTCTGTTCTCCTTCCTTCCCCCTTCCTTCCTTTATTTATTTTATTTATTTATTTGATTTGTCAATCGCTTACAAGATAATAGATATAAATATAAACATGAGTAAGAATACAGGAAATAGGTACGAATAAATGGGGACAATAGGACAGGGACGATAGGCACGATTGGGCACTTATGCAGGCCCCTTACAGACCTCTTAGGAATACGTATTCTCTCCTTTCCTTTCCTTTCCTTTCCTTTCCTTCCTTCCTTCCTTCCTCCCACTCCCTCCCTTCTTTTCTCTCCTCCCTCCCTTCTTTTCTCTCCTTCCTTCCTTTTCCTTCTCTGTTCTCCTTCCTTCCTTCCTTCCTTCCTTCCTTTATTTTATTTATTTATTTGATTTGTCAATCGCTTACAAGATAATAGGTATAAGTATAAACATGAGTAAGAATACAGGAAATAGGTACGAATAAACGGGGACAACGATGGGGCACTTATGCACGCCCCTTAATTCCGCCGGGAGCCCGTCCTGGGCCTGGGTTTTTTATCATTTTTCTGTCTTTTTATTGCTTCCGTTAGTTCCCACGTTGTTGCTTTACTCTTCCATTTAGCACAGCTTTAAAATTTTTCTAATATTCAGACAACACGGTGTTTATTAAGCACTAAGAAATGTAATAAATAGAACATTAGTAAAATTTATTTTTTTTTAAAAAAAAAGTGTTGGAAGGGACCTTGGAGGTCATCTAGTCCAACCCCCTGCTCAAGCAGGAGGCCCTACACACCATTCCAGACCAATGGCTGTCCAACCTCTTCTTGAAAACCTCCAGTGATAAGAGCACCCACAGCTTCCGGAGGGGAGCTATTCCACGGATTCATCGGTCTCAGGGTCCGGAAATTTCTCCTTATTTCTGGGTTGATCCTCTCCTTGATTCTACCTGTTGCTTCTTGTCCTGCCTTCTGGGGCTCTGGAGAATAGATGGACCCCCCTTCTTCTTTGGGGCCGCCCCTCAAAGACTGGAAGACTGCAAACATGTCCTTCTTGTCGTTAAACTAAACCTGCCCGACTCCTGCGACCCTTCTTCATTCATTTTAGCCTCCAGCTCTCTAATCATCTTCATTGCTCTTCTCTGCACGCCCCTTCTGGGATTTCAACACCTTTTTTTACATCATGGTGGCCAAAATCAGATGAAATATTCCAAGGGTGGTCTTAGAAACGCAGTATAAAGTCTTATTATCAAACCGTGAAAGCATCTCACCCCTTCCTAAAGCTTCTTTTTTTGCAAGGGGATGGTTAATGGTGACAAGTCATGGCAGCAGAACAAGGCCTCCTGTGTCCCTATCATTGACCCCAAAAATTGTGGTAGCAGCTACTGAAGCCACTTAAGATACATATGATGGATGGATGGATGGATGGATGGATGGATGGATGGATGGATCCAGACTTGAAATTCTAGAACTAGAAAACCTTGAATTACACCGTCTTCGGTCTGACTTAAGCATGGTATATAAAATCATACCTTGCAATGTCCTACCTGTCAATGAATACTTCAGCTTCAACCATAACAACACAAGAGCACACAACAGATACAAACTCAAGGTTAACCGCACCAAGCTTGATTGCAGGAAATACGACTTCAGCCACAGAGGGGTCAATGTCTGGAATCCTCTACCTGACTCTGTACTTTCTTCCCCAAACCCCAAAAACTTTCACCTTAGACTGTCTACTATTGACCTCACCCCTTTCCTAAGAGGACTGTAGGGGGCGTGCATAAGCACACCAACATGCTTACCATCCCTGTCCTATTGTTTCTTTTCTTTTTCTTATATGTACCCATTTCATGTATTCATAACTATGTATACACTTATACTTATTATCTTGTAAATAATTGACAAATTAAATAAAATAAATAAAATATAGATACTGGAGAGGGAGAGAGAAAGAGAGATAAAATATACAGACAAAAAGTGGATAGATGGAATAGCTCGCCTCCCAAAGGTGTGGCTGCTCCGTCACTGGAGGTTTTTAAGAAGAGACTGGACAGCCATTTGTCTGGAATGGCATAGGATCTCCTGCTTAAGCAGGGGGGTTGGACTGGAAGACCTCAAGGGTACCTTCCAGCTCTACTCTGATTGATGTTGTATTATAGCAAACCAAGGATGTGCTGGTCCAGCTAACCTCTCCGAGACCCTTTTCCCCTCAGGCATGTCAGTCTTCAGAACCTCCGCGGGCTGATGATCCTCTGGAGAACCCAAAGTCCAAAGAGAACTTCAGGAATTTCAAGGTCAGTGAAATCCAGGGGCAGATGGACCATGTCTCTATTTTGTCCCAGTGGACCGGGAGGAAAAAAATGCTGGGTAGGAGATTGGAATGGAAACTATGGACATATTTTGAAAACACTTCATACTTTAGAGGCCGCCCGTAGTGCAAAAGTGTGTAAAGTCTGTTCTGAGACGGAGAACCAGAGGTTGAGGGGGGGGGAGGAGGAGGAGGAGGAGGAGGAGGAGGAGGAGGAGGAG